GAGACACTGTCGAAATAAATCAATAAATGTAAAGCAGCTACAACTAAGGTGCCAGGATAATACACTACACCTACCAGCCAGAAAGCATTGTCTGAATATAAGCATACAAATGTAAACCTTAAAATATTTTACATGTAAAATATAGTTTTAATCTCAGTAACAAACACAAAGCACGAGTATAGTAAGGGCACTCCTAGATTTCTGGGATCACAGGTTTAATTTCATAAATGCAGGAACTGTAACCATCGACTAAAGGTTTTGATAAATCATATCAAAATGTCTTAAAATAACTAAGATATTAAAAGAAATATAGAATCAAATAAAAATACAAACTGAGAGGCATCAGTCAAAGGGTCCTTTTTGCAATTTCGTTTTAAAATGTACATTTTTTCATTCATATAACTTTCTCAAATGTCTATTTACTATAATTTACTACCACGAGGCTCCTCTATGGCGTTCAGTTACAAGTTTGGGTATCCTAGTTTCTTCAAAGAAAAAATTTGCCTTGCATGTAAAATGGTGCAATGCAGCAATGGCTAAACCGACAAGGTCATTTTTCTACAGCACAAAAACCTAAAACCTGAAATTTATTGACAGAAAAACTGTCGTTTACAAAAAAGGCCCCCTTGAATAAAGGTACCTTACCTTTAGACTGCTGTAAGAGGCCTTAAGTCAACTCAACTTTCATAAATTGCTACCAAAAAATTAGGGTGTGGCATATTAGCAATCTCAAGGTCACGCTTTAAAAAACGAATCCAAATTAGTAAAATACTTAAAATAACACAGACAGCTACCCCTGCCTGTCAAGGTAAACAATGTAAGCTGAGGTTTCCCCAGAAAAAAGGGAAAAGGAAGTAAGTTGATAGCTCATACCTCGATGCATTGCTGTGTGGCGAACTGTCCTCCTCTTGGCTTTTGTCCTTCCTTCTCATCATCTTTTAATTCTTAAATATTAAGGGGGAGGGGGAATCTGTGTTTGCTTTGAAGTCCTGTGCCCAGGTATTTACTGTCAAAAGTTGAAAGAAAGGTAAGGTCCCAGCTTCTATCGAAGGTTTTATTACCAGGAACAAAGTCCTGTCCGTGTAACGATATTGTTAGAATACAACAGCGGTAAGCACCGACAAACAAAATAATTCTATTTTTACCTTAAAAAAACAACAACAACAGGATACACCGAACAGGGGGAATTATCTCTATCAATAAGGAAAGTTTCTCAAAGTAACACACTGGATACAAATAACAATCTCTGTATCTTATTGCGTCATCCAGTAATTTCTCATATTTACAGAAAATAAAGCGAACTTTAACATATAAACCTTTAAAATTATCACTAACGATCATGAACTTACCTGATCCATGTAGTAGGTCCAAAGCAAGAGTCCTATCTAGTAGTAGAAATATCAGATCCCAAATAATTAAAAATAAAAACAAAATTCTCCGTTAAAAAACGAAAAATAAATAAAAGAACCCTCAAATATGTTAACTGGTCAAAAAAAAATAAAGCAACAATTAATACCAAGAGGGGTACGGGAGGAAAAAACCTCATTAGGAGAGCGCACAAAAATGGAGGTGCGCCATGGCTTCTAAGCTGGAAAAAACAACGACCTGGGCTCTCAGTACGGCTGCTTCTTTCCAGCAAGGCACGAAAAGAAAGCTCCCCAAAGCTGCTTTTCTCCCTCAAAAAGGTTCGAATCGACCCCAGCAAGCCACTAGGAGAGGCAGGGGGCTGCGGGGGCCCCCTGAGGCGGCCCGAAAGTTAGGGAAAGTTGCGTAAAGTGAGGCGAAAGCAGGGAGCAGAGCGCGCTCTCTCTAAGGCACAGCCGCCATCTAGAGCCTCCTTCCCAGCTCTGAGAGCTCTGCCTTTGATTGACACTCTCTACATTTACCCCACAACTCAGGTGATGTACCATAGACCCACCCCTTCATCGCCACCAAAAAAAAGCAACATCTCCCATCCCAGGGAGCTGAGGACCCCCACCCCCACC